GTTTATTCTTTTTTTTTATATATAATATTGGTCTCTTTTAGTTGCATTTGATCAAATTATCAATTATATTAATTTTATGAAATGTATGGTTGCCCAATTAGTGAAGATTTGTGTTGGTGAAATTTGTGTGTTTTTTTGAATACTTATTGTTCTTCTTTTGAAACTTGTGTCTTCTATTGAAGGCTTATTGCTCCTCTTTTGAATATATGAAATTGAACGGTTAAAAATGGTTAACCTGATATATGCAATTTGTAGTATTAGAAATAGGTATTAATCTATATTTTGAGTGATAGTTTGCCAATGGGTGGTTCAATATAATGAATTTTGGACAGAACAAATCTTTAATTACCAGTAATTAGAAAACCACTGGGCCAACTAGAGACTTTTCCAAGTTGGTCTAGACCAACTAAAGACTTTAGTTCAATTTCAAGAAACAGTAAATTTTTTCGTTTAATAATAGCATGTCATTATTGTTTGTTCATTTGTTATTCAGTAAATTGATGTATATGTAACCTTATGATTAACATGGTGACCATATGGGATTTCAGTGAATATGAATCGTTTACATCCTGATGGAGAGTATCCAAGAGGTCCTCAGGACCCTAGTTTGCTGCAACTTCATCCTGGACATGCATCATATTTTATGTAGGAATGACATGTATATGCATATATTCATCTGCCCTTTCTATTAATTTGTTATTCTTCAATAAAGTGTACTCAGGTTCAAACATTTTATGAGAAGTACATATAAATGCATTTGGACTAATATATTGTCTATCTGTTGTATTTCAGGAGAAAGAAGAAATTAGAATTGATGAGAAGAGTTTTCAATTAAACGAATAGAAATTAACAGAAGAGCAAGTTGAATTAGTTAATGCGACTGGGTTGGGTCCCTTGTCTATCAGGCTAAGCCGAATTGATCATCATTTGGTCTCAACTAATGTAGAGAGGTGGCGTTTCGAGACCAACACATTTCATTTCAACATTTATATTGGTGAGATGACACCAACGCTATTTGATGTATATGACTGGCTGTGGATGGTGAGCCAATTACATGTCATCTTATCAGTGACCTGCGATAGTATATAAAAGACAATTTGGGTATAGTCCTTGATGGTAATCTGACAAGCCTGAGGCATACATGGTTGAAGGCGAATTTTAGGGAATTGCCACTTGATGCAACTCCTATTCAAGTTGATAGATATACTCGAGCAAATCTGCTCTTCCTCATCAGTGTCACCATATTTGCTTATGCATTAATTTCAATAGTGCCAACAAGGTACTTGTAGTTTTTTGAAGATATTGAAGGAGCCCGCAAATATGCTTGGGGTGCTGCAGCCTTTGCATTCCTCTATCGCTCACTAGGAAAAGCTTGTACCTTAAAGCAAAAACATTTTAGTGGTTCAACCACTCTCATGCAGGTAACCTTTTTTTTGGTATATGACATAAACGTAATAGTTTAGACTGCTTTCCTAAAATATTAAATAATCTTCATCGCTGAATTTATTGCAGTACTAGTCATATGAGCATATTATGCATATGAGGACCATACCGTATAATATCTCTCCAAATTTGCCTAGGGCCAAAAGATGGGAGCCCCAGAAAAATATCATGACAATCCACATAACTTAATGCCTCCCATCATACAAGAATTTGATAACCTCAAACCTAATCAGGTTAGCCCATAAAAAATGGACAGATGAATAATAACAGAAACTATTAAGTGTAACCGTAATAACATAAAGTACAACAGATATATATGTAATTTTCTCTTCTTTTTATGTTTATCTATTCTTTCTCTCTTGAATTCTTTTTAATAGTTATCTTTTCTCTCTCTAATTCTTTTTTATCTCTTATTTCTCTCTCTACAATCTCATCATCGTTTCCTTAGAGAAAGTAATCAAACACTGACTTCAGCTATGCAAAACAGAGGACATGATCAATCTAAGAAAACGATGATGAGATTGTAGAGAGATATAGAAGAGATAAAAAAGAATTAAAGAGAGAAAGAAGAGATAAATATTAAAAAGAATTAAAAAGGGAAAAAAGAGATAATTAGAGAAGAAAGAGATAAATATAAACAAGATGATAAAAGGATTTACGCCATTTTAAGTGCCGGACAAGATGGGTTGGTTTTTATGGTACTTAAAATGTTGTACAATGGGTTTTAGTTTTTACAGTACTTAAAGTACCGTAATTGGCTTCACAGTATGACCAGAGTTTTACGATACTTAAAGTACCGTAATATTATTTGAAGTTACTACGGCATTTTAAATATCGTAAAAAATGATATGTATTGCGATAGTAAAACTATCGTGAAGGCCATTTTAGTCCAAAAAACAAAAATTAAGGAAAAATGGTATATACTAGATAAACGAAAGTTTGGAGGTTTTTTTTCCAATTAACCTTAAATTAAGGTATATTTAAGATAATTTTCCTATAATATACATTATTACTTTTAAAGAGAAATATACTCCTACCCCTTATTTTTCCTTTTCATATCTCAATCGACTCAAAAATTCAAAATATATCTCCTAACCTCCTGATTAACTTTATCCAATTTTAACTATTTGTTTAGCCCTAACAAATATAAAAGAGATATGCTCATTCTAAACCCTTCTTCTTATGTTCCCCCCAAATTTTTCTTTCTCCAACGTTCACCCTCTTTGTCTCTCTAACTGAAGAGAGAGAGTGAGAGACACGGGATAGAGAGACTGGCAAAATAGGTAAAGAGAGAGATTTAGGGAAAAATTATGTGAAGAGAGCCTTATATTTGTTTGGGGCAAAAAAATAGGTTTAAAAGAGATAAAGTTAGCTCAAAGGCTTAAAAAATATAAAACTTTGAATTTTTATGACTCAAGATATATTTTGAAACCATTGGTCTATTGAAATATAAAACTTAAAAATGAGGGGTATGAAGATATTTTCTCTATTGTAATACAAGGAGTTCGCAATCATTCTTGTCCTTCATATTTCAAACCGGGTGATTGTGAATGTGTAATTGACTAGACTCAAAGTTCCAAAAAAAAATAATACAAACTTTATTATACACCCCAAACTATCCAATTTAATATCTAATGAGTAGGAGTGATTGTGATCTTGTAACAAAGATAAATGGTCTCATAGAATTCAATTCCATAAAAAATTTGATCCACCTAAGCAATCATTTTCAAAGACCAATTTAGATTTTGAAAAACACTTACAGCATACATCCATCAAATAATTGGACAATTTATTTAAGAAAATACATGCAAGGAGACCATTTACTTTTGATACAAGGTCACAAACATCATTGACCATTAGATTTGAAACCAAGTGGTTGATGATATATTATTATTTATGCATAAAATCCAAAACAAAATTTCTTAAATGTTATGAAACACTTTCATCTATTAAAATTCACAACTAATAGCTAAAAATAATTGTAACCTCCTGACACAAAAATATATTGTTGCATGGTATGCAATCCCTATATTTAATCATTGGTTATTATTTTGTTCAATAGGTTAAAGGGGGCCAAAATGCAGGTACCTACGAAAACTCCCAGGCTGGAATTTAGGAGTGAAAGGAGAAAATGCTCCACCGGGAACATAGAATCTTCCAACTTTCTAACTTTTGATATCTGTACACAGTTTTCCCTATACCGTAATCTCCTCACAACCACATGGAATATTGTGGTCCCCATGGTCATCGCCGTAATCCTCCTTATCTCAGATCTAGCAAGTCTCACATCACTCATCATAACCGTCCATAGAGTACTCATACACTCATGACCATAGAACATGACAAGTCCCAGGCAATCATGAATATCACAAAAAGAAAAGGAAAAAGTTTATAGAAGGTTGCAACCTTAGAATATAGAATTACCGATGCACCTCAAAAATCTATTGAAAAAGATTGTTTTAATGTTGAAAACCCTCTAATCGATCATCTGAACATCGATATGTATGAATATGAAAATATATATATATGTTTTGAATCCCAAAAAGACTGCACCTAGCAACACATTATCCGGACTGTCCTTTTCAAGATTTTCATATATTTATATATCTAATTGATTTTAAACATTTTTGGAGTTTAAAATTGTATAATCAGATATGAAAATAGATTTTCAGATAATCCTAAAAAAAATTTAAATCAAAATTACATGTTATGATAAAATTTGGATGTGCGCCTTAATTTATAAAAACTACACCCCAAAGAAAAAGTCTATATAAAGGAGAGGCGCTAAACAATTAAATTAAAATGCACCTCAAAAATCTAATAAATAAATTTATTTTGATGACAAAAATTCTCAAATTGATCATCTCAACCTATAAACATGAAGAAAAAAAGAATTCCAAGTTTTGAAAACAATCCTTGTAATGCATTTTTTGACTGTCAATTTTCAAGATTTTTCAAGCGATCCTAAATGTGCTCAATGTACATTATTATTGAAGCTTTAAACTTTGTAAGTTTTTAACTAGATATGAAAGTAAAGTTTCAAACCATCACAAAGATTTCTAATTCTGAAAAACATATTCCGACCCTATTTAAAAGTGCGCCGTACTTTCTTTGTTTGGGGGGCCCAGGCCTATACAAAACCACACCCATAACAAAATGTACTTAGTAATAATACCTCAAATTGTAATCAAATTTCCATTTTATATGAAAAATAACTCTTTCTTTTCAATTGAATCAAGCACTTAGCCGGTATCAAGTCTCACCATGGAAATCAAATTTTCGCTTAATTGGGAACAACCAGTTGACTTCCTGGTTATTTTAGACACGGTAAATTGACCCGAGCATAGAAACCGGAAATTCAAATTTACATTTTATTAAAAACAATCAATTAACGCAAGCATACAAACCAGGAATATCAAGTCTCATGTAGTGTAAGGAAAGAAATGCCGTTTGCTTCAGAGAGTTCTTTTTTTTCTGGTTATTTTTTGGTGGGGTAGGGGGGATGGGGGTTGTTGGGGAAGAGCCAACAAAATGGCAAAGGGGAAGACAACAAAATAGACAGGAACTTACAGACCGGAAAGAAGGTTCTTTCCCAGTATTTGAGTGAGAGAGAGAGAGGGACTAGGATTTATACATTTCATCCAAAATGCAAGTTGAGGCATTCTTGTAAACATTGACACATCAGTCTAGCATCAATTTTGAAAAATAGCGGTATTGTTGTAATTTACCCAGTGACATAAGCAATCGAAAAAGTAATTGGTGTAATGTGATTGCCTCGCTACCCATCAGACTGAACACCTCTTAGAAGCTGAAGAAGATACAGAAACAGGTTGAGGATGTCGAGATAGAGGATGACAGACGCCCATATGTATTCGTCATAGGTGAATCGCTTAATGAGATTATCAGTGTCGTAAACTACATAAGCTGAGAAAATGAGGGCGCCAAGACCTCCATATACAGCAGATGCAGCAGATCCAAGTGGGAAGAATATCTGCAATAACATAATACATAAAACTATAAAATATTAATAGGAGGAAAAGTAGGCAAAGATGCAGTAATAAACAGATCCAAACCTGATGCAAAGGAGAAACATCATTAGAAGTTAGCTAATTCCACAAGTGTGTGTGTATGAGAGAGAGAGAGAGAGAGAGAGAGAGAGAGAGAGAGAGCTAAATGCAGCGACTGAGATTGTTAATTTGTACACATAATGACACTCTGAATTTCTCAAAATCATTTGTTGTGATTTAAAAAGAAGTATGCATGTATATCTTCAAGTAAAGAAAGGACGAGAAAAGAAACATATTTCATAATTATAGCAGAGAAGTGGCTTGATAGGGTTGCGGAATGCATCACCGAAGTGGGCTACCAGAGATGTTAAGGTCTGCCAAGCATGAAGAGAATTATTCTGCATCCTTTCTTTTCTTATTAAGTTCCTTTTTGGGGGTGCAATAACAAACAAGCAGGTCATGTAAGTGTATGACAACTGTAGGTTAAACACTTATTTTCTTTCATAACCATAGAGTTCTGCAACAAGCAAATGATATTTTTTTTTTTTGGGTAATTCAGTGGGGATGACGAGCCCCTACACATTTTTTTAAATCGTTAGCAGTTTTTGAATGTCTTAGGTGAGAATGGAAGCCTAGACCTTAGCTGGGGCACAAGTGGTGCTACCACCACGACCCCAACCCCATTCTCACAAGCAAATGATTTCCTTTATTAAAAAGACCACGCGAATTTTTAGTTTCATAAAGGTTCAGATCAAATGTGGCAATATCAAAACACACTAAAAACAAAATTCGTTTTGAACATCGGTAAAATTTCAAAATGCAAAGCAAAAGTGAAAATAATTAGGTACATTTGAAGACAAGAAGCTGAGTATAAATTGAATGCACAAAGAGAGGTATAAGTAAATATCTGAGAATAAAGGAATCCGACCTGAATAAAGCCAGTTAGAATCAGGATCATCAGCCCAGCAAATAAAATTGGACCAAGGAAGCTAAAATCCTTTCCCTTCTTTGAGGCCCAGAATGTGTATCCAGTCAAGGAGCATACAACAGCCGATGTTAAAATGAGAGCTTCCAATACAATAGTTCCTGCAAAATGCCAAAATAATATATGTATATTACAGTTGATATGGTCAGATTATATATATGTATATTACAGCTGATATGGTCAGATTATCCTCAAATATCAAGAATACTTGAAATATGTTGATATTCCATCAAGTCTCAAGCCAAAACAATGCACAAAAAGAAATCAATTCCTCACCTTCAGTATTTGCGCAGGCAACACCAACCGAGAGACTCAAGAAAACAGTGAACAGCCCAAGTAGAATAAGATTCACTGGATGCTTCTGATGATAATAGTATAGTGGGCACATCACTGCATATTCAAGTTTGTCATTATATAAAAAATGCCTTTCTTTTCATGAAAATATAGGATAATGCAAATTAGCATAATAAACAAGAGCCTATAACACAGAAGAGGATACCAAGTGGAAACCAATCCCCATTGCAAAAGCATCCAGGCGCCAAAAGGCATCCAGGAAAGAGATTTTATGAGTGCTCCCTAGAGGTTCCAGATTTTCTATTGGTTAGTTTCTATAGCACACCTTAATGAAGGTTTCCTGTCAAATTTAACTAAATTATGAGAGCCCTGAACATTTTATAAAACACACTAGCAATGAATGTGTAATTGATGGAAAATGAGCACTGGGTTAAAATTCCATCTGGTCTAGATATTGTATCCATAGGAATCTAAAGAACAAGCATAGAAATTCTCCCAACAAATTTAGGCAAACAACAAACATCCAGATTCCAGATAATTCAAATGAGGAAAACAAAGAACACCAAAAGGCAGTTATAAACTCAATGAACAAAAGGATATTGAAAAAATGAATATGATGCAGTTAGAACTATAACCAATACGCATAAGACACTCACAATCATATAATAACATCATTTAGTAGCAACGAAAAATCAGAAGATCCAACAATTGGCTTAATTGTCTTCCCAAATTGTTCCCTCCCTCATTCCAAAGGAAAATTTGAAAGAATGCCACAGGAAACTGCAATAAGGCATTGAAGTAACCTTCGACCATTGGCCATTACTCTATTCCAACCTATATTCCTTGATTTAGAGCATAATTATGCAATAAACCATTTGGAACTAAGAAACCATAAATTTCTATGTGGGCCACTCTTACAATATCTCTATACAGCAACTGAAGTGAATTTCAAAAATACTCATAAATATCACCTTAACTCTTTAATCACCTATAAATCATCCATACAAGAGGCAAGACAAAGGATAGTGGTCTAACAGGTAATCAACAAGCATATGTTCTTAGCTAAATCATGTCGTAAACATTTATGGGTATTATTCATACTCAGTTAAATCATTTAACTTAGAACATTGATTGATACTATGTTATGGTGGTCAAAACTTCCTGGCCACCATCTAGCATTTTGGAAAGGAATAAACAATGGTGCATTTGGTAACAAAGTACACAAAAGATTATTGAATAATTTGACAAGAGACAGTCTAATGCCCCAACAAGGCCTAAAATGCAAGGGATAGAGAGTCTCCATTGCCCCTTTTTTTTAGGAAACAGCGACCCGATAGAAAGATATGCGAATTATGCTTGGCTTTCATGTTGTGCTTGGTTTTCAAGTTAGATATACGAATAATCAATGATTTCAACAATGAAACCCAGGGAATGAAAAACATCAGTTTAAATCATCTCCTGAATTCTATCAACTCTAGAGTTCTCACAAATTGAAGCATCAAACCCTAAAAATTTAATTATTTATGAACCCGACATAAAAAATAAACAAACATTCAGTGAAACAATGGTGAAAAAGTTGCACCCCTAAAACCAATCCAACCTGGAAGCTAGAACTATCTCATACCGAAACATCAAACTCTTTAATCAGATATCAACCAAAATGGAATATCAAACAGACCGAAAAAATCAATTAGTCAACAGACCCTAACAATAACAACAAAATACTTACAAATGAGGGGAAGAATTGCCAATCCAATGGCCAAACCAGGACTATTCTGCAACAAATGTGATATAGGCGGATGCAAAACTACGATAGCCGCAACCACAGTGGTGAGAACAATTTGGGTAGCGAGAATTCCATAAACTTTGCGTATAAAACCCCATCGAAGCTCATTTTCGCCATAGCCAAGCCCCGGATACAAAGTCCCCGCCTCTAAATCTCCTTTGCTGTAAGCAGCAAACCCCTGCATCTTTCCTTTTGAAAACTCCTAGTATATGCAATTTATATATCTGCAGTTCTAGAGGGAGGAAGAAACCTTAGTTCTCTGTAATTGTAGAGAGAGATAACCCTATTTCTCGCACAATGAGAAGCAAAATGGCGTGAGAACGAAGAGGGGCAAAAGAAGGGACTTATATGGAATTGGGCGTTAAGGGCTAAGACTGATATATACCCTTCTATTTCGAAAAGACCGAAAGACCCCTGGAAATTGTATCAGAGTGCGTGGACTCCGAGGGTAAGGATTGAATTTTGAAGGGAAGGGTTACAAGAATCGCCCGTAACTTTGTGTTAAAGACGGAAGTGGAAAAAGGGTGGAAATTTCTCTCTCCCTCTCCGGTCAAAACAAGAGGCTCTTGCGTGTACAGATGGCAATTATATGCTGGGGCCTACTCTCTCTCGCTTTCTTCCTAAGAAATTAGTTGGTTTGGCCATTTGACCTACTTCCTCTTTAAAACCAAGCCCTTCTCCCTCTCTCTCTCACAAAATCTAGCCCTTCTCTCTCTAGCACTAGGCCCTTCTCTCTCCTTTCTCTCTCTATCAAAATCTAGGTCCTTATCTCTCTAGAACTAGGCCCTTCTCCTCCTCTCTCTCTCTATCAAAATCTAAGTCCTCTCTCTAGAACTAGGCCCTTCTCCTCTCTGTAAAAATCTAGACTTTTTTCCCTCCTATCTCTCTCTCAAAATCTAGGACCCTCTCTCTCTAGAACTGGGCCCCACTCTTTTCCCATAGCTGGCACCCTTCTTGAGGAAAAACAAGGAAATGCCCCTTAATTGCACTAAATAATCTAAAAAATATCCATTAGGTATTTCCCAATAATAATAAGGGGGTGGAAGGCCATTTACCTTCAAGATAACAAACTTACAACCACCTTTTAGTTGTCATGCAATGCCCCAATTTCTTTGGAAATATAAGAAATTTTATTTTTTAAAACTTTAGTGACTTTTTTTAAAAAAATTAAGGTCAAAACTGTTAATTCGGCCGATTCACCGATCTGGATTGCCAATCCGACCCGATCTTTAGGGGTGGCAGATCCAGATCACCAATCCGTTTTTTTAAAGCTTTCTACCAACAAACACGTCCTACATAAGGCTGAATGTAGCATTATATCAAAAGTAAATAGCTTTATAATATAGAATCCCTAATAATAATGCACAATAAAGCATGCATGAATGCATTTATCAAAAGATTCAAAACCAAGGAGACCATCCCCACTAACAATAAACATCTTCATATTTAAAAATGCCATTTCTTGATTTCAAAACCATACTTTATCCTTTGATATTTCCTCTTACAATGATTCAAAACAACATATCAAGTGTAAATATAAATATAACTGTGAAAAGTATCATAAATCATAATATAAATGAATACAACTGACACAAAAATGTAGAGAACACACCTTTCCTTTCTTTTATGAAGATTTTATTTTTATATTTTCTTCTTTTAGAATTTATTGAGAGATTTTCGGACACCTATGAAGTTACCTCACAAACAAACTCTCAAGGAGATTACTTACCATGTTTCACATGTAATAGATACTTAATTAAGACCAGTACACAAGCAAGACTAAGATACAAATGAATAGTCCAGAGATATTGGAAGGAAATGCATATCCCGTTCTGAAGGGTTCATCCAAACAAATGAAGATGAGCCATCAATGATCATATATTTTCATCATTGGCACCAGTTGGCGAGCTCGGAACAAAAGGAACAAACCCACGTCCGCCAAACACTGGTCTCATATAACTATCATCAAACTTCCTCCAAAAATAGTGAATCGTAGAGGTGGGAGCTTTTAGTAATAACCTAAAGCTGTTTCTTCTGGACAAAGTCTGTTGATTATTCTCACTTCTGTGCTCTTCAAGAAAGAGGAGCTGTAGATCTTCCAGGCTGGACGGCTCGGGTTGATTGACGTGATCAACTTTTGAACGTTGAAGCAACATGACTCTTATCAGAGGCCTTGTTACCAACCCAAAAACCTGTTTTCATTTGGGTTTGGTTAGTTCAAAACACTATAACAAAGAGAAACAATGACAAACACGTATACTCTATTTAGAGGTTTCGTTACCACTTACCAGCTCAATGAGATTTTTCTTCTTTTTTTTTTTGGCAGTTTAATGCTCACAGCAAACTCAGAGAGAAATTTCTATCCAAAGCGATTTCTATCCCAAAGCATGACAATTAAGTGATTAACTATCCACCTTGATGTTTTGTTTATAATCCCACAAAAGTGATGGATTAAGAGCTACTTAATGAGAGGAGAAGTCCTTCCAATTCCCATCACATTCTTTAGTTCCAATTATACCAAACTGTGTAGGGAAGATTGAGATAAATGACAAAATAAACCACAGGTGGATGGTCATACCATTGTACTAAACAGAACCACAATTATGGTATTTGTGATCATAAGAGCATATTCCCGCGATGAAGTAGATCCTGATACTGTGAACTGCCAAATCATATTAAAATTCTATAGTGCCAAAAATCCCATGGAAGGCAAAAATCATGGAGCAAGCTAGAAAGTTTCATAATTACCTCATTATAGGATAAAGCTATGGTTACTGCCCCTCTCATGAGACCAGCCCACCAGATTACAAACTGAAAGCAACAATGTTCAAAATCTCATTTGAAGGAGCCTTGTGAAAAATCTTTCTTTGTTTGGAATAGTTCAAAAGAATGGAGTGAGCCTCAGATTCAATAAGCTCTAACCTGTTGACGAAATCTTATCTTTGTACTCTCTAACCTCCTAAAACAATTAGAGATATATGCAAGGGAGAACACAAAGGCAGCCCTTCCAACCAAAACTAAGGCCAATAGCGTTGCACTGATAGCAGCAAAAATGCTTGCACTGGATTAGACAAAAACATAACCAAGTAAGATCATGAAACATTAATGCAGTTCCTGTTGAACATATACAATTCAACAGAAGATCAAGGCCTTCAAGGAATATCGTATAGCCACAATTGGCAAGCAGCAAATGGATGGAAATATGAGAACCAAATTCCAAGCATGGAAAGATTAAAGAGAAAGAATAAAACCAGAAAAGCTATCATCATCTGTCCTCCAAAACCCATCCTATTTATATTCATCTCATGCAATGTAGGCTATTGATGACAACATTATCAAATTTGAAGTCTAAATCTAAACTTCCAGAAGCACTAACAAAGACAAATAATCATCAATACATTATAGGCGAGGAACAATTTCCCAAGCCATAGAAATCTCACGACCACTGTCCCAAAATTCTCTTGCTGTCACATACAGATATAGTTGAGCATTGTCACATCAAAGTGCCAAGTGGAATTTCAAATCCTAGAAGGAATCCATCAAAGATGAAGGATCAATGAGGAGAGGAAAATTATTTCAAGAGGCACGCTGATCAAATTGGAGGAATAACCAGAAAGCAGTCACTACATCAAAATTGTATTCATATAAATTTTTCAAATGACACTTCTATCCCAAATTTATCTCCTCTACCAAAGCCACTTTAAAGCAACAAAATGGTAGAATCCATCAACTACATGAACAAGTAACTTAAAGATGACTTTGAAAAGAGAGATGCAGAAACAATACCCATATGTCGCTCTCCAATGTGAATCAGAAAAACAAATTCGGCAAAAAGTTTTAAAATTTCCAACCCCATATGGTACAAATAATTCCAACAGATCTGTTCCTTTGCCCTGAAGGAGCATTATTTCTTGATGCATAAATAAAACTTACATAGAGGTAAAAGAGAGAGGAAAAACATGTATTCCATTGATAATAAGACAGTATAAATTACTTTACCTTGCTTCACTTGTTTTCCACTTATCAATGTCCAAGGCATCCATGCCAACATAGAGGAAGATAAAAGTTTCCGTAATAAAAGACATTGTTGCAAATACATGCCTGGAAAATGGGAATCCGGCAAATAGTTAAAATCTTGCTTTAATGTATAAAATAAAAGATATTCTTATTATGACATCCTGCCAATAAAGATCCTTAACGAGAGAGAGAGAGAGAGAGAGAGAGAGAGAGAGAGAGAGAGAGAGAGAGAAGTATATCATCTAGTTCCTAAGTAAGTAAGGAGTACTATTACGTTTAAGTAAGTAAGTGTAGGTAGGTAAGGAAGACGTAAGTACGAAA